TAGTCGGCAATAAATCACATTCCACTAATGCTTTCTAATGAAGAGAGAAATGCCCCCTCTCCTCCTCCCTTCTCTGCATACCATTCTGTTCTTATCACAGTAATGAATGCTGTTAGTGTGAAGGTTTCTGGGCACAATTTGAGCCAACAGCACTAGAGGAAGCGGTCACAACACTGATGGCCTCTGCACTGACCACACATCAATCCTCTCAGAAAATCCTTGTGCAGCACCTGCCTGCCTGTGGATTTGATTCTTTGGAGGGAAGAGACAGAACCCTCCCCGCCCAACGCCCTGTCCTTTTATTTGAAAGAATAAGAGTTTCTAAAAGGAAATAAATATAAATTTTCTGAATAAGTTGCTCACAAATAGAAAGGAAAAAAAAAGAAAATACTAGAACTGACCACAGAGATGATATGAGGCTAGTTCAATAGCATCAAAACTGAGATTTTATTCCAGCTTTACTTGGGGAAGCTTGAAAATGAAAAATTGGCATTATACGATGAACAAAGTTGGGCCAAGCAGAATTCTCAAGCTAGCAAGAACAGAGCTGCTTCTGGAGCCTTCCTGGTAGTGGTGCTGGGCTACAGGAGGAACAAATCTAATTCCCAGCAGGTCTTCGGGAAGATTAAACAGAAGGTTCTCCTAGGCAGTGCTGTATTTTGGAGCCAAAAAGAGACTGCAGCCATGCATGTCTTTTCCCCAGCCTCTCACACTACTGGATATCAGCAAGGTGTATGTCAAAACACACCCTGCCAAGTGTTCAAAGCACTCAGTTTTCATCTCTGAGAAGTTTCTCTATATCAGCCTGACCAGCTACATCCAGACCTATCCCTGTTTTATCCTGTGATTTTATTACAGCCATGTGGAGAGAATACCTTACCTCAGAGATGAAGTTGACATAACCGAGTATGAAATGCAAGGGGGAACAGAGGGATTCAAAGAAAAGCAGGCCTAACTATAGCCTTTTTTGTAATGATCCCGCCCTTCTCTCAGAGAAGCAAACGAGTATTAAAAGGTCACAGGTGAAAACTGCTCTGTAAAGGAGTCATTACATTGGAGCACATGGAGCATAAACATTTGTGCACCAGAAGAAATGGCTGAGTAGGAGTTAAGCGAGCAGTGTACGTGCAGTAAGTCAAGAGAACAAGAATAGTCACAAAAGCCAAGAACGAAGACAGGTAAAAGCAAAGGACTGGCAGTGCTGCCTGGAGTGCTGACAGCATCAAGGCCACACCATGGATAAGAGCATACCACAAATGCAAAGCAACTACTATGTTACAACTCAATCTGGCCCTGAGCCTTCTTTGTCAAAACAGAAAGGCTTGCAGGGATCACGCAGCGTTGGCACCAATCAAGAACCAGGGAGACAAGATGAGGATGTGATAGCTAGCAGTCCTTGTTCTCCATGCCACCACAAGTAATCCTGGTATCTGTGAGAAAATGAAATCAGTTTTGTTTAAAACAGAGAGCACCTTCCCCTTCTTTATTACGTGCTCGTACAATGAGTTTTGCTACATTTATTGTGGCAACAAAGTGGAAGGAAGAAAACAAAGTTTTAATTCAATTATATAAACAGTATCAGTACAATGCATAGAAGTCACTCGAATTCCATTAAGTCTGGAGGTAAGAGCCATCAAATTTGCAAAGAGAAGTACTAACCTTTCAGAAAGAAACAGCAGTTTCAGAACAGCAGAAACAACTCATGATAAAAAGGTGGTAAGGGCCGAAGAACCATCTCAACCCAAGAGAGAAGGCATTTAGATTGTGTTCCAGTTTGCACAAGCGTACAACTTAGACCTTTGCACAAGCATGCACATTGCAGGCTCAAGACAAACCATCCTTGATTGTTGTGGTTCTGAACAGAAGCCAAGTAGATTGCAGCAGCTGTATATTCAATGAGTTGGTGTGATAAAAGACAGATTGTCAAAGCTGAAGCATGATTAGCATAATATAAAGCTTACAAGGTAACCAAGTCACAAATTAAACAGTATTTAGATGACTAATTGCATATGATTGCATATTAAGTTATACTCACCAGCAGTCCCAAATATTCCTTCAAGAGTTCTGACCTAAGTCACAAAAGTTAAATCAAGCTATCCAAAAGCCTGAGATTAAGAAAAAATATTGTGCTGATCCTTTTTCTAATCTTATCTTACTCTGTGATGTACATACACTTTATCTATGCACAACACCACCATTAAGAGCAGAGCAATTTTAGTCCCTGACACAGGCAGCTTCATTCATGAACTCAGCTGAAAACAAGACTTGCTGTATACCCTCACGGTATAGAACAGACCCCAACCATACACAGAGTGCACAGTATGCCAGATGAATTGCAGTGTAGGAGCTGGAAGGGAACAGCTCCTGAACTTATATTATATACAAACATTGCTATTTTTGAGCATCTGCTGTGGTAAACACATGACTTCATAGAATCATGGAATAGTTTGGGTTGGAAGGGACCTCTAAAGGTCATCTAGTCCAACCCCCCTGCCATGGGCAGGGACAACTTCAACTAGATCAGGTTGCTCAGAGCCCCGTCCAACCTGACCTTGAATGTTTCCAGGGATGGGGCATCCACCACCTCTCTGGGCAACCTGTCCCAGTGTTTCACCACCCTCAGTGTAAAAAATTTCTTCCTTATATCTAGTCTAAATCTACCCCCCTTTAGTTTAAAGCCATTCCCCCTTGTCCTGTCGCAACAGGCCCTGCTAAAAAGTTTGCCACCATCTTTTTTATAAGCCCCCTTTCAGTACTGATAGCATGCAAGAAGGTCCCCCCAAAGCCTTCTCTTCTCCAGGCTGAACAACCCCAACTCTCTCAGCCTTTCTTCATAGATGTATTCCATCCCCCTGATCATTTTCGTGGCCCTCCTCTGGACCTGCTCCAACAGGTCCGTGTCTTTCTTATGCTGAGGGCTCCAGAGCTGGATGCAGTACTGCAGGTGGGGTCTCACCAGAGCAGAGTAGAGGGGCAGAATCACCTCCCTCGACCTGCTGGCCACGCTTGACTTGAAGCATACAAGACAGTAGCTTTGGTCACAAAATATCCTCTCTCTTCAACCCCGCTCTTAGAGAGCACAGTAACCATTCTCTATACATTCCAACACTGACTGCCCATCTAACTCAGTACCCGCTCTGCAACTTTTGCCAACAGGAGCTTAGAGGATTGCTACTTGTTCGACTGGACAAGGTTTCCTTCAGGGAAGGGTACTGTCTAGGCACACGCAGCATTTGACAAGAAGGGAACAGTGTTACTCTCAAAGCAGAGATGACAGAATACTTAAAACTGTCACTGCCATGCAAACTCTATTTGTTATACCCAATAGTTAGGATACTCACTGAAAAATGTGATTATCTGCTTTAGGGGCTGAAGGTTTCCAGGCTTTGAAGTCCAGTCAGAATGCTGCCTCAGATAAGTTCAATGCAAAAAAGTTTACAGTACTCCTAACTCTCTCTTCCCTATTCAGATTAACATATTTTTGTACATATGCCTGTGAGAAGTAGGACTGCAGTTCTCTTAATCCCCCTGCCTGCATTCAGGATGATGATGTTTGATTACACAGACAGTAAAAACTGCTATAACTAATATTATTTGATAAACATTTTCTCTACACTGTCAATTAGATCTTAGTAGGAAATTTAATTTTCAACTGCCAGCAACCAAACCAGAACACAGTAGGGTATTGGGAGACTAGTAACTGTTCTCCCTTACAAGGCCAGCATACTTCACATTGGCTAAGGTAGGAGTAAAATTATTGAATAGAATCACAGAATCATTCAGGTTGGAAAAGACCTCTAAGACCATCGAGTCCAACGGTCAACCCAACACCACCATGCCCACTGAACCATGTCCCTAAGCGCCTCATCTACACGTCTTTTAAATACTTCCAGGGATGGGGACTCAACCACTTCCCTGAGCAGCCCGTTCCAATGTTTAACCACTCTTTCAGTAAAGACATTTTTCCTCATGTCCAAATGAAGTAACACAGGAGCAAGAAGATGGTTGTTCTTCCTCTACAAGCCTCAAAGTCTTCTACTAATACACTTGCCACACACAGTAGAAAACAGAATGCTGGAAGTGGTTCACAGGTGGGAAAATGACAATGGCTCACCAGGTATCCCTGAGATCCACTGCACAACAGGGGTGGGCATGTGGTTAAGCTGCACTAGCAGCACCTACTGGCTTGCTTCTCTCCCTTGCAGAAGTCTGGTTACCCAGCAGCCACTTTGCAACACAACCATGCTGGAAATCAAGCAACAGAGCTGAGCCCACTATCTGCACTATGAATTGTTCAACAGCCACAGGTTGACAGGAGGGCTGGTACAGTTTTCCCAGCTGGATCTCCCTCTATCTCCTATTGCAATCTTGAGGCTGTGAAGGAAACAGTATTTATATGCTCTCAGATAATTTCTCCTGGAAGACTGGAGTCTGCAAAAAAACCCCAACACTTCACATTCAATCTGTGTATCATATTGTTTTCAGTATAGTGTATGCATCCTCGGAAAGTCTTAATGCATGACTGCTGAGAGAACACATGCAAACTCATTTGTTAATACATTGGCATACTAACTGGAACAAAAAAGCATCCTGCTGTTCCCTTACAATGACACATTTTTTCCAACATTTATTATAGGGCTGGCAGATAATCATATATACATCCAAGCTCCAGGTGAGAAGGGTGTTATTTGTAGTTTTCCTCCTTCGGGTGTGCATCTGTACAGGATAGCCCATGATTCAGCATAAAGCTTCTGCAAAATTAGTCTGTGTAAATCTGTAGCCAGCAAGCCGTTTTGACAGTTACTACCTCAAAGCACAAGTCAAAGTAATGAGACAGCAAACCAGAGAAAGGAATCTTCTTGTTTTGCTTAAAAATGCTTTTATTCAAAAAAAGAAGTAGGGTTAATGAAACCTCTGTTTCAGTAAGGAAACACTAAATTCACATTTTACATACGAAAATATTACAAAATAACCATCCAGTGACTATTACAGCGTTTTTTCCATGGTTGGGACTTGGGCCATTTTCACTCATTTTCATCCACCATCCACAGCAATCAAAAAATCAATTTTTTTGGTAATCCTGAAAAGTGTAAATCACATTGTTACCAAAGCAAAGGGGTCCAGCCCCCTCCTCAAGGTTTTAGTATTTGTTTGATACCGTTCTTGAGATACATCTACTCTGAGATGCTTAATGCTGTTTGCTGCAGCGGCAGTACATGACTTTTTCCAATTAATCTACGAAAGAGTGCCAGAATCAAAGCTCACTTGAATCAGCACGTGTATTCCAAATGAGTTGCAAATTCTGTACTTCAGTGTTAATTGCATTTGGGATGCATGTGAGTATTTCTCTTTGTCAGTATAAAAAGCTAGCCAGTTAATTCTACTTTTAAACCTAAGAAAGGCAAGCTATTCTAAGGCTTAACCTTGCCCCACCACACATACACTCTTAATGATTTTTCTTATGTGCTGTCACTACCCAGCAATAAGCTGTCTGCAGCAAGTAACAGCCCTTTTAGTCTCTGCCTCATTCTTCAACCATGTCTTTGTTCAATATCAGCTGTAGAGATGACGAGAGCAGCAGTACTTTTCTGATTCTATTCCAGATCTTGTCCTCTCATTTCTTCATATGCTACTTATTTATAATGTAGGTAGAATAAACCATAGCTACCTTCTGGGATGGATATGAAGCTTACTATGAAAGGATCCACCTGGTTTTGCCTGCCCTATAGGCAGAGGTCTCCTCTAAAATACACTGACATTGAATCACACCCATGAACTTTAAACGAATGCCCAAACAATGCCCATACGCTGACTTAGATATGAATAGAATGGTATTTTTTTTTTCCAAACCAATGTAGAATAGTTCTGAAATTAGACAGATTCCTTATACCGCATTAACTCAGGAAAGTTTAGTGCTGTATCTTTTATACTCTCCGTTTTGCGATCCTGTGGCTCCATAGAAATGCAGATTAATAGGACTAGAAACTGGTGTCCTGGGGAAGGACTGCTGCTTTTGAGTAAGTATTTGCCAGAGTGGAGAAGATGGACAATGATGTCATCGTAGCATCAGTGTCTCCACATACCTCACTGATCAAAAATAAGTGGTAGCAATAGCTAGAAATGATGCGCGCTTAATACTTTTCACAGGCAGTCATCCATCTAGTGATAGTCTTCCCCTGACAATAAAGAGGCTGTTTTTTTGAGAAGTACAGCTGCTGCACATTTAAGTTTGCTGAACACGCCCCACAGGCTACAGGGTTTTGTTCTTGTGGAAGAGCAGCACTTATGGGGATGGCATAAATTCTTTCTCCTGGCAGCCAGCCCCTGGTGCCAACATTTTATAAGACGGTACCCATCAGTAATCACCCAGTCCATTCTACTAAGTTCCAGAGGGCTACCTCAACAGGGCTAAGGAAAAGAGAATGTACTGTGCAGGATTCAAGCACAGGCCAGCCTAAAAATTTCAGGGGATGCAACTTATTTTTCTTTGAAATTACTTTTACATATTTCCATCCTCAATAGCAATAAAAACATGCTGTGCTTCAAATTTTATTTAAACAAAGACTGTAGGATTGTTCTTCCAAACCAGTATTCAGATTTTTAACTTTAGATGATAACGTCACGTAAGGATGTAAAATAAAATCCAGGGTAGCAGATTTGCTAGCTAACATTGGCTCTCTCCTTTAATGTTTGTTGGCACTAGAGGATCTACCTTTGAGACCCTCTGGTTCTGTCAGCCCAGCTAAGGCAGTAACAGAACATAATGGAAAATCCACATCAGAAAATCCATTATGTTTCCATTTCCACTTAGTGGAAATGATACTGCTTTTTATACTGATACTCAGATGTCTCAAAAAGTAATGCTGACTTCCAAATGCCTTAGTTATAACCAATCTCAAAACTCCTGGCATTTAACACACAAGTCTGACTTCCTCTTGCTGAAGATGAGACTTTCGGAAAGACGTTAAAGCAATTAGTGTTCTAGCTTCATACAGTTCTGGAAACTCTGCTAATTGTCAAACGCAAGACTTCAAATGGTTAAGTCACAGAACTCAAAGAAGCATTTCTTCCTCTTTCCTGTCCTTTAGTTAACAGGCATGTTTTAGGGCAGGTACTCCAAAACACTAATCACAGACCCTCACATGGTCCTTGCAAAAGGAGCTAAAAAGCTTAAATTGATTACCTAAGCTATGGTAATTTGACAAGTTCCCACATGTCAGTTGACCCACAGTACTGGGGTCAGCAAAGAGCATGCAAATAGTCAACTGATTAAATTTTTCTTTGAGATTAGAATCTTAAGCTAGTGAACTAAGGCATTTTACTTTTAATTTGACGCTGACTAAGAAACAAGACGTCAAAGTGCCTAAAAACTAAGTTAAACTCTAATAATGTTGCTGTGTCTCCGAATTCAAGAGGAAATGCACTTTCATGGAAGCATCTCCATTCCAAAAAGATATCACTCTTGTATCAAAACAGTCTCATACTGGCAGTAACAAAAAGCTGATGCTAACCTGACAGCTGCTGTCTAGCATATTCCAGCTGTTAAGACCACCAACCCCAAGTTTAAGGACTAATATTTGCCTCTCTGCTAGAAAGTCTGAGTAATTTAGTGTCAGATACAGGTCTTGAGTCCTCAGAGCTTTTCTTGCCATGAAGATATGAAGTACATGCTACTGTTTGGAGAAGACTGGAGGCTCCATATAGATGATGTCAGGGAATAGGCTTGCCTTTTAAAAGGGTCACAGAAATGTGCTTAATGTTCCTTACCCAGAGTGGTCTTAACTGTTAACTTGTTTAGTCTAAGACAGAGAGAGCAGAAATCTCTCTTCTGAACCCGATTTACATTCTCCGGTCTGTAATTTGAAAGAATAACATGCTATGTTTCTCTCTCTCTCACCCCCCCCCCTTTTTTGTTTTAAGTGATGTAAAGTTAAGTTATTTCCACCTCAGTAAGATGTCTCAGGGAAAAAAAAAAAGGCATCATAATAGCCTATAATTTACTGGGTAGTACCACACTCCATTACAGAAATTAATGGAATTAGATATTTCTTCTAACAAATAGATTCCTAAGCACCATAAAAGAGCCTTTTTTGTACCAATTGTTAGAACACAGAACTAAGTCATTCTCACCCTAAAGCATTTATCCTAAAACATACATCATTAAAGGGCTTCAGCTGGTGCTGGTGCCCAGGGATGTAGTCCATTCAGAGAGTTTTTGTTCTGAAACACTGAAGTTTCATGTTCTCTCTGAGCATGTAGCTCCTATATTAAAACAGGTGAAACATTAAGAGGTTACCTTGATCTATTCCTTCTGTTCTTTTCCTTTTTAAATTTAAAAGTGCATTTTGTTGCTCCTTTACAGCTTCTGCAGGACAGTTGGGTCTTGGCAGCTGATTTCCTGGAGTGGGTCCTGGTCGGTTACTGAAATACTTCTGTTTCAATGCCTTAATGATAATGGAAGAAAAATAGCCAAGTAATTAGTATAAAGTGTCAGAACACCATCTATAAAGAGGTTATAATGAAATAAAGCACTTGTAATTGGGACTTGAAAACTACTTGGACACTTTTATACTAGAAGGTGGCCTTGGGGCAAATGAAGATTTTGTGTTCTCAGTGACTACCCACAGCACTTTGATTTGCAAGCCAAGAGATAAACTGTTATTTTTAACTAGTGCTCAGACATCCTAACAGAACTCTAGACTACATTGCAGGAGGTCTTGTACAAACAGCAAGTTTCTAGCTCCAAAGAGCTTACATTCTGAACAGACAGATAAGACAAGGATAAAGAAGAAAGTAGGAATAAAGAAAGATTAAAAGAATATATCCGAAGCCTTGATCAGATCCAGGACCTGGACACCAGCTGTTTTGCTAGCTTTTAAGATAGGTTTTTCCCCAAAATTTCTTTAACTGTGCTGTTTATACACTGTAAACTGTGAGAAAAATGTAGTTTGAATTAGAGCAAAAGACAAACACAAGTGAGCAGGGTTAATTTCATATAGTGGGATTATATACGGTATTTTAAATTTTAGGAATTCCACAGCCTCCATAAACTGCGGTTAAGGAAAAGAGGCTAAGCTGCCTCTTAGGTAATCATTACTCTTGCTAATGTCAGTTACATGGTATTCAATGCCAGCTATAAATCAAGCCAATACAGTAAGCGCAAGTTGTTTCCTGCCTTAAGCTGTATCATTGTCAATAAAAATGCTAGACTAGAAAAATCGTATATATTCAAGTCACCATCCTACAATACAACCTGTAAAATGACTTCATACATATGAACTAGTACAGAGGTGTCCCAAGCATAGCAGAACTAATTATTTGGAAACTTATACTGAAAGTTCTTAAAGATGGTGACCAAAAAAACCTGAATGTACTCTGAAAAAGTCTTCTAGTAAAAAGATAAATAACACATGCACTAATCCCCTGGATTGGGATCTGCCTTGTCTAACAAGCAATGAGGGAGTCCTGGCCTTAAGGGGGCAGCTCTGTTTCTTGCATGCTTCCCTAACAGTGTAAGGTGACAGACACACAGTTTTGAAACTGCCATCTGCTGTATCTTCCTCATAGTAGCAATCAATATTCTCAACTAGAACATTCTGCCAGATTTCAAAAGTTCAAAGTCTTTCATTTCTCCCCATCAAGGAGTAGTGAAATTGAGATCAGTTTCACCCAAGTATAATGGAAAAGGATATTCAGATCAGAATGCTGGTTTAAATCACCACAGAATTTCATATTAAAAAAGAATCAAAAAGGTTTACATGAAATTGAAGAAGAGACTGCATGAAGTAAGGAAACCTTTCAAACTCAGGGAATAAGATATGCTATGTTAAAAGTTAAGTTTTGAGCTTTAGGTGACTGAATTTTGAATGTCGAATACAATGACTGTCTGAAGGCCATGACTCCTACACCTTTTAGTTGTCTACCTTTGCTCTACGTTGGTAATGGAGAGGATCAGTCAGCATTATTCATACCTTTCAGAGATCTCTCTATAAAATACTGGAAATATGTTTCTAGTATTTCATGGACAGAGCTATAAGACATTTCATTTCAAACCCAGCTTACTGGCTTCAAAGCACATTTATCCAATATTAACAGTAGTTTAATGAACATTAGGACATAATGCAAGTGTACTGTACCTGAGTAGCCGTAACCCTAGTGCAAGGATTAAATGTGAATAAGCCTTGCAGAAGATTGAGCAAATCATCACCAGCTGCACTGAAGATATGTTGGAGTGGCATTCCAGGGAAAGACTTAAATGTGACATAATCTGGAAGACTCGTCATCCCCTACAAAGACCAAAAATGGAATGCATATTTTTCAAGTTAGAAAGAGTTCAGCTTTTCACAGAAAGGGAACTTCATATGGCTGTCTTTCAGCAGAAGCAAATTATCTTTCAAAACACCTTGCTAATACTTTGTCACTGAAATAAAATCAATGTAGGAATAGCAGGACATAAAGACTACTTTTTTTTTTTTTAAATAACTATTACTGTTGTTTCAAACTTTCCTTTTCCAAGTGATCTGTCCTTTTCTTGCTTTAGTGGTGACCAGTCCAAAAGAAAAAGCTACTTACAAAGAAAACAAGTATGAAAGAACTTTACAGTGGGTGCAGACAAATGAAGTAAAACTTTTTTCTTTTGTGAACTGACGTGGTGGAAGAGACAAGATTCACAAAAGAGCCAGTCTGCATTTTCTCCAAGTTAATAATACACTGTCCTCCTCCTCAAAGTTAGCTGATCACCATGAGTGTTTTGAGCTACTTTTGAAATGCACAACTGAAACTTTTTATCTGGGGAATGGGGGGAGGGAAGGAAGATAGGCCAAGCAGTTAAACAACAGGTGAATTGCATACCTTTTTCTCCTGTACGTATGAAATCAATCCCTTTGTATTGAAATTCTATGATAAAAATGATCTTGTAACAGACAATTATCCAAACGTAGTATTTTAATAGTGTTTTAAATATTTTAAACCTCTAGGCATCACACTTCAGTAAGTTTATCCAAGCAAAATAAAATATTAATACTGAAGTGGAAAATGTGCTCAATCAGTTATATTTTTGACAGCAAAGGTTTCAATTCTTGAAATGCATGGGTTTGCAAATCAATTTGGGAATGCATCATCTCTGTTGTGCTAGCAAATCTCCTATTCTCTCCTTTCCCCACCTATATCTTAACTCTTCCTCTCCAAAGAAAGCAGAAATGTCATTGCAAAAATCTCCATGCATTTAATTTAGAATCCTGGAGCAACAACAGAACTGTATGGGGCTAGTAGTGCCTTATACGATATTTCTCCATATGGCTATAGCTCCATTTGGTGATCACATACCATAGCATTCGAGCACCATTCACACAAAGGAAAAGCAGCACGGAGAGGGAGCAGAGGCGGGATGTGATGACTGGTTAACAAGTCCAGACAGTGCTTCCACAACTCAACTACAAAAGAGGACGGTCTGATCAGGGAATTCTGGCCCCCCCGTGCCCATTGGCTGGTCCAAGTTGCCCGGCCGAAGAAGACAGAAGGCAGGCTTCCTGTCAGCCTGCCTGATAACCATGGTTATGTAGGTCATTGCGCGCCCTGACATGAAGTTTAGCCCAGTAGTAGCAAGGTACTGGATTTACTGTCATCTTGAACCGGATAATGATAGTACTGATTTGTATTTGTTACTGCACCATTATTCTCAGATAAACTGTTTACCCCTAAAGCTGTTGGTCTGGTGTCTCTCACCATATCCTGAACCTGTAACTTGGCTGGGCCACCTCCGGTGTCAGGAGTGAGATATGGTACACAGCGTCATTACCTGCCCCAACCTTGTAGTGGGTGCCCCGCCCATAGACACCAGATTCTCTGATGGAGGGAAGTACCTGTTTCCTTTTCCCTAGCTACTTTACTCAGAGAAATTCAGAAAGACAAAACATGAAGGGGAAGGTACTCTGCCTATTCCTCTTTGCTCACTGTCTCAGAAATACTGAGCATCATTTGACTGCAGCCAAAGCCTGAGCTGTCGCCCTACAAAAAGAATTAGCTCAAGCCCAGCAGGATACTCAGCCTGCATTTGAAGACAATGCTCTCGCCAGTGCCTGTGTTAAAAACGTGCAGGCTTGCGTGGAAAAATTAGAGCACCTCGTGGTCCCCCTGGTGGCAGCACATGCCCGAGAGAAACTTCACCGGCAGCTTTTGCATAAAAGGGAGTTTCTGCAACAAAAATACATAAAGCTTTATGTATTGACCAAGAAGAGTGGGAAGGAAATACTTGGTTCGATTTGGATCCAAATGATGATACATCAAATTCTTGAAGCCCAACCAGGCTTACGAATCCCATCAATTATTGAAACTGAGTATGATGCTAATGGAGGCATTGCAAGTATCTCTTCATGCTCTTTCACAAACATACACCTAGCCAAATTAAGCAAGTGCTATCGCAGATCTGTTACTGTGGATTACTTCGCCTGGCTTGCAAATACGAGGGGGGGATACCATCCAAATTTCAGAATCAGAAGCCCAGACCCTCACATCTGACTACAAATTCCACCAGAAAATACAGACTCTGTCTTTTGGGCATCAACAGCTTATGTTCAAAGAGAAGTGCCCTGAGATGACTGAGGACCCTGGCTATTCCCTGGTCAATCCCACAGATTTAGAATTGAGCATAGCTAGGCTGGTTACCAATCATACTTTAGATGTAGGCCCTGTGGCAGATGAAGACCTATCATCATCCCACTGAGATGCAGTGGTGCCTACTAGTCAAAAAGGGTCCCCTCGTAGGACATTTAATGTCAATAGGCGCTGGCCTTACAGGTGTAGCACCCAGCCCCACACAGCCCGTGCTATAACAAAAGGTAGTTTCTGCTGTGCCCATTCTGTTATCTTCCTGTGTCCCTAAAGATGCAGCTATAATTACCACCAAACCCTATTGTGCCCCCATAAGTTAAAAAAACCCCTACACCTCTGTGAAAGGGCCCTGACCCAAAGCATCCTGA